CCTCACCTCTTGATGTGAAGTCAAGTTTGTTATGTAAGAACAGTATGTGGGATGAGGGATATTATTGCAACCATTTTTGAAAACACAGTATCTTACAGGATTCAAAGCCATCAGTTGTTTTATTGTATGCACCAGAAATATTAGTAATGTTGTCATCTCTGCAGACATAAAATTATGGTTCCTATACACATGTAGCATCTTCCGATTAATTTCAATAACAATACATTTTGTTACTAATCACTTTTTTAACCTATCACTTTGCTATATGCTTTGAAGAAAAAGAGTTGCTAGCCTTCATACAAGATTTTTATTTTCCTTCATGGGCTCTGATGAAGGAAGAGAATTGATAATAATGAGAAGTTCACTAGATTCAGGAGAAAATAGTGACATACAAATTATTCCTACCCATTAAAATATGTCTCTTTAAAAGAATGACTCTTATGGTTGCCATTTGTGATTAGTCAGGAAAAAGAATAAGGAAAATTTTTTAATTTTTTTTCAAGCCAGAAAACAAAGGAGATAAATGTATACTGAGATATATTTGTCTGCTACACTGTGCTAAGTACTATATATATATGTGTGTGTGTATATATGTGTCTGTGTATATATGTGTGTGTGTGTATATACACACACAGTATATTTGTCTGCTACACTATGCTAAGTACTATATATATATGTGTGTGTATATATATGTGTGTGTATATATGTGTGTGTGTGTATATACACACACACATATATACACACACACATACACACATCTCTAAGCATACTCATATCTATATTCAATCTTCATATCAACCTTCAGATGAAGTAGAGATTCAGTGACATTAAGTAGCTTCCTAAAGTCATGGAGCTATTTGTAGGAGAGCTTAAGTTTAAAATCAATACTCAGTGACTTTAAAGTTTGTGCTCTTTCCACAACATCATATATATTAAAATATTACCATAAGTGCATACTATTACTTGATGGAATGGTCATCTGAATACTTCCTCAAAATTACTTTTCTTTGGCAACATATATTTTCTGAAAATATCTTCAGTAAGAATCTCTTCAACTACTGGACAAGTATGCAACTTTCATAAGTGACACATAATGATTTCCTTGAATTGCAGTCATTTGTTTCACATTGGCTTTCTCATAATCTGAAAATCCCAGGAAACTCAACATATAGTTGTAGGGAAGGGAGGCAAATCTTTCCACTTATATCTACTTTTCATTTATATCTACTCATTCAGCCATGGCTCAGAAATCCCATTCTAACTTAATAAAAAGAATACTTAAAACAACAGGGACATTGTTCCCTCCTTGTATAAAATGGGTCACCAAATAGGCAATTTTATAATTCAAATCCTTCCAAATAACTACCTTGCTTGAATATCTAAAAACTATATAAGTCAGCTTGCATGTGCTATTAAAGAGAAAAATCTATAAACATATATCCATTAATACATTTCTACAATCTAAACAGTTGAATGCCCCCAAATCTTTCGCTATTCCAGTTTTTATATGAAACACTTTAATTGCCACCTCAATATGTTAATAAACTTTGTTTTAATAGTGGTGAATTATTATTCCTCCTGGGATGACACAGACAATACTTCCATGTTCCACTGTGTCTAGTTTATGCCTGTGTTATACCAATCATGGACTAAGGGTGTTCAACTTTTTAAATCTACTACTTTAGGCACAAAGGAGATAAATGTACACTGAGTTACATTTGTCTGCTAGACTGTGCTACATCTAGACAATATCTATTTACCTCTATCTGTCATCTACCTATCTATCTATACATGTGTGTTTCTAAGCATATCCATACCTATATTCAATCCTCATATCAACTATACCATGCCATCTTTGGATCTGTGATGCCTCCTGCAGTGTCTGACAGAAAAATGCAGCTGTGAACTGACAACTAAATTAGAGTAATTTAGTTGTGCATAAGTAATATATTTTTTATGGTGATTAACTGTGATCCCCCACTAAAATCTTTGAGGCAGGTGAGAATTTGCTGCATCTCCTAAAACTTCACCACCCAGTCATAATGAAATAAATTTCAGACCAAATTCTACCACACGCACAGATATTTATTGAACAAGCATGTCTTAGCAAGGAGCTGCAAAGAGATCGTACAACCTTTTCTGTAAGCTCAGTGAAATCCCAGCAGTTTGTCCTTGGGAGTTCCAACCACCACTGTGTGTAAAAGGCTCACCAGAGGGAACGGCAGCAACATTCCAGGGGCAGGATCTGGTTACCATATTTTAAAAGGTGCGCAACCAGAAGTCATTCTAATCTATAGGAGAATCAAAGACAATTTAGAAGTCTAAGACGCTATTTTCATGGGTAAAACCCATTATGCTTAGGAGGCTAATTAGCTAGGCATCTGAGGTTGACTGAGTTTCAGGTGACTGAAGTGTTGCCTAGCCACTGAGTTTCGGGTGACTGAAGTGTTGTGACTGAAGTGTTGCCTAGCCAGTGAAGCTTTGTTGATAAACTGCTGATTGAACCAACTCTAGTCTGAATTCTTTATTAGAGAAACTTAATGCCCCTATAGTTGAAGCTTGCACGGAATAGCACATTCATACCTTTTACATGGCCTATGCTAAAATGCTTAAATGCAAAAGTGTTCAAATGTAATACACGTGAAAAGTTGTTAAGAGCTTGAGCAAAGTTGTAAGCGTTGAGAATAGTGAAGTGGACAGGTTCAAAAGAAAGCAAGCAAAGGACTTGAGATGAGTGGGCTATATGAGAGTATGAGAAAAAGGCAGAATATCTCAGAGCCTTGGGCAATTGCGGGATAGTGCTACACAATAAGAATAAAGGACTGACAATGAATGAAGTAATGATCAAATGAATAGTAGCTCCAACATGGGGCTTTTGTTTTTTATTATATGAAGCCATCCAATAAATGAGTTTGCCTTAGAAGTTTGTATAACCATAAAATAAAATGGAAGGCTGTGACAAGATCTCGTTTTCTCCTGCTTGGCTTGTGTTGTATAGGCTCAGTCCCTTCTACTTCTTTAAGCACTTTCACTACAGATGTTTGTCCTCACTGGTCAACCTACTAGTGACTACAGTTTATCACAGTACGTATTTTATTTATGCTTGCACTATAAACCATAATCCCACAAATGCATGTTAATGTGCAGTAAGCACAATCTATTGTACATAATTCTCTCATGAAGTAAGTGACAATTAGACTGATTGGAAATCCGAAGTAATTAATAAAATGTGTTTTATAGCTGTATCGAAATTATGAATTATTCTAAGTGACTCTCCCTGTGTAGTCACTGGTTCATTGAGTATGTATGTTTACATACTATAAAATTTAAAACAGAAACCAATACATATCTATACTATATGTGTTCCATCATGCAAATGCATATTCTTTCCTAACTAAAATATAGCTAAAAATTCCTAAAGAATATCACTTGTTTTCTAATGCGTATTTTTCCTGAAAATCCCACAAAACTTTATTTATAAGAATAGAAACAGTAAAATATATCAATATATTAAATTCAATAAATAATATTGCTAACTGGAAAAATAAGTCTATACCAAAACAAGTAACTACATTTAAAGATCTAGAGGACAATGTAACACACTTAATTATAAATTCATGTAACATCATTACAACATATAATTTAATATTTTAAAGTTAACCAAGAGATATCTTAGAATATTAAAGACTATTAAGAATAATTTCAAAAGTCAATTATTATGCTGTGGATGTTTGAAAATATAACTTCTATGAAATGCTCTTCTATTGACTTGAATACTACATAATAGATTTTACTAAACAAAAGAAGAATGCAGACCATGAGACAAAAGTAGAAAGATTTATTGTGCCACCAATTATAATTTAACAAAATACACCAAATGACACTAAATATGTATTTTTTAACTCTACATGGAAATAACAGTGAAAAATAAGAAATTAGCTACAAAAAAGGTTACATCTCCTAAACAGAGAAACTTCCTACAAATAACCAATTATGAATATTTATATTAAGAGGGTGGAGGTTCTTTTAAGACTATGCTGTCATAGTAATACGTTAAATCCCAGAATCTCCTCCACCTTTTTTTTAATAATATGACAGCCTGTATATTTTCTGATTATATTCACAGGAAAATAGGACATAACAATATTAAGAATAGATTTAAGGAGAATGAAATAAAATTTCATCTACATGCATACTGAGTATCTACAGTGTTATTATTCATTTTAACATGAGGACAATTTGTAGTGTTTAGGATGACTATAGTTGGATAAATTTTTCCAAGAAAAAAATGTGACTCAGAAACAGTGTTAAAGACATATATTTGCCAAAATATCTTCCAGCACATTGTTTTAATTACAATAACCTAACTGAAAGGAAAATTCCAAGGAATAAAGAATTTAGCTAGCGAAAATAGCACTAAAATGTTTATACATATTTTCTTTCTGATATTTAAGTAGTTTTAGTACCTCCTCAAACCTTAAAAAAGTGCTACTTTGAATATATTGGGTTCACACACATCACAGTTTTGATAATGTTGCCAAGGGTATAGATGAATAAAGTTATATGCTAAAAGTTGTATCCTATAAAGTATATATTTTCATTTATAAACCATTCATTTTACTCAACATTATTTTTTTCTACTTTATATTAATACATATTAAATTTAAAATTATGAACTTAGAAACAACTCTGTGAAGTTCCCTCTTCTATTTCCAAAAAGAAGTGAAGAACATGAAAGAATTTAGAAAGAATGACTACAACATATCGAACAAATAAAACCTATATAGAAGAAAGTGTTTCAGTTGTTTAATATAACTGCCCCCAATAAAAAGATGTTTAGAATAACTTAGATTCATCTTAGAATACAAAATATTTTTTTACATTTTGGTTAAGAATTACTAAATTATCCACTTTTCCATATATGTGATAATGCACTTTTAGAGATCTTTATTTAAAAATCTAAGAAAACATTCCAAAACCTATCTAGAAGAAAGTGTTTCAGTTGTTTAGTATAACCGCCCCCAATAAAAAGATGTTTAGAATAACTTACATTCATCTTAGAATACAAAATATTTTTTTACATTTTGGTTAAGAATTACTAAATTATCCACTTTTCCATATATGTGATAATGCACTTTTAGAGATCTTTATTTAAAAATCTAAGAAAACATTCCCCCTCCCATTTTGTATTGTTTTTAGCTAAGTAATAATTCTGCGCAAGTTATAAAGATTGCAGTTAAAAATATAACAAAAGAACATATAGAACTGGTCACTAGAATACCTGCATTGTGCTCTACTGAACAAACAGCAGCACATAATGCAGAAGAAAAGAATTCACAAGACATCAATATTTAAGCAAGGATTTTAGGGGTAAGCCCCCATTGTTCAAAACATTTGTTACAGAAAACATCTATAATCATACTGCATGGAAAATTTCTCTTGTATAACCTTTTATTCCTTTAACATTTGCATATCTTTGAAACAAATCAAACTATTTCAATCTCATAAGCTTTGGGCCCAATTCCAATTCATCAAATCAAGAATGGTGGCTATTTTATTTTGAAAAATAGATAAAGAAATAAACAGTGGACAATGGTTATTATATAGATGATCTCATATAGTTTGATACAGATATTACTTTCCTATGAAGGCTAATAAAAAAAAAGAAAACCTCTGAAATACATTCAAGATAAGTACTACATCAAAAAGACAGGTCTTGTCAAACTTATAGACAGGTGAGCACTCATACCTGTGCCTGAACATACACATATGTTCATCTATCTTTCCAGATATTTCTCTTTCTAAATACAATCTTTTGAGAAAATAAATAAATAAATAAAAAATAAAGAAGGCCCTAAAAAATATATTCTAGTGTTTGATCGTTGATCGTACTTTACATTGAATTCATCTCTCCTTTAAAATGTTTAGTGCTAATGACATACTCATTTAAAAAAACTAAATCCCCCATGGAGTACGTAAGATATTAACAAAATCTTCATCTTCTACTATTTCTATACTTAGACCTTCATAGTAATCTTCGAATTCACCATATGACACTCCATCAGACTTGCTGCAGTCACCTTTTAATGTTTCTAGAAAAGACGATTTGATTTCTTCCTCTGTGGTATGGCCTGTAAAATAGTACTGACTGTGTAACAATCTCTTTAAAAGTACAGGAAAATGACTGATGACGGTAAAGAAATACCTAATCACCTTATAAAATCTTTTCAACAATTTGAAATCTTATGTCAAACTACCCTCCAATTTACTTAAACATTTTCTTGTATGAACTTGAATTTAACGCACTGTTGAGGCATCTTTTAAGCTTCTGATGGGGGTACATCCTATATGGATAGGCAACATAATAATTACTACTATAGCTATTCTTTTATTTCTTAATGTTTTAGAGGACTTGGCTGCATTCCCATTAGAAATAAGAAAAGAAGAAAATAAGTAAATAATTTCAAAGATATATAGCCTGTTAACACAGTAATGCAATGTGTGAAAACCATCTCTACATTCAGGCATTAGTTATTTTATGAATCAGTTACTCATAACTGAAGCTAAAAAATATTACTGCAGACAAGATTCAGAAGCCTGTGAAAATCTTTGCTGGAAGAACTTACGCTTAATTAAATCATTCTATTTTAATCTTTGACATTAAGTAGGCTGTTTCCACTGGGTTATATTAAATATGACAGACTTTATCTTATAGGAAGATCTTGAGAATCATATATGTAAAAAAAATTGTAATTCTTTAGATTGTTATTTAAAGAGAGAAGATAAAATATCTGATCCTTTTTAAAATGCATTTGAATTTTTAATTCAGAAAGAGAACAATAAGCTATTTAAATAAAGAGCTTCGATCATATTATGGTCAGTTAGAGAAGAGTGATTTCAGCTTAAATCCCATTTTCTTAGTATGCTTTCACTGACCACCCCAAATGTAAGTACTCCATCATAGAACTCATCCCACTAATTTACCACCCTCTTCGCCCCTCACCCTCTATGCTGATCGATTCCCAGGATCCTAGAATAGAACAGGAAAAAAGATGTTCATTAATTTTTTTATAAGGAAAGAGAAGTTAAAGATGAAAGGAAGCTACAGATAATATTCAAAGAAAATAATATTCAAAGAAAATAAACAGAGGTTCACGTATGAAGGTAGTAAAAGCGTCAGAAAAATCGATGTGACTATAAATTGCTTTAAAGTCATATTGCATTTTAAAATAACAAACTTAAATGGGAATACCATCTTCATTGTTTGTCTAACAGGGTGGGCAAAATTAGGGTAAGAGTTGGATATTTTACAAACACCAGAGGTTTTCTAACAGACTTAGATAATAATTCATTGTAAAGTGCCTTTCAAACTAAAAGAATAAAATCTGCTTAGAATAGCAAAATGTTTGCTGTTGTTTAAAACATATGCGAGAAATAGAGAACAAGTGATTATTTAAAAAAAAGACAGGTCGAATAAACAAAGACTAAACAATTACTATACAGAGATGGTAATATAAAACAATAAAGTGAATTTGTGATTGAATGTTAGTCAAGAATAAAAATCAAGATCTAATCTATATACAAATATATATCTGTTGGCAGAAGAGGTTTCCCCCTCTGTTTACCAGCCATACTTTTGAACAGATAAGTTTTAACACTATTTTTTCTAATAAAAACATTTTTTATTTAAATTTGTTTCAAATCTTCAAGAATTTGATACCTCTTTCGTCTCCCCTACTCAGGAAATACCTACCTTCTATCATTTGTAACTAACCTCTCTTTTGCTCCTCTTAGAGAAAAGAAAGTATTTTAATAAACAACATTAGACTTCTAATACTATTACACAGAAAAACATTTGATAAATCCAATTTGTATTAAAACTGAAAATACTTTTTAAAATAAATTATTTAAACAAAGTAAAAAGAAAATATTTTCTGCAGTTAAATGAAATTATGTGTGATATAAAAGTCTTAATTTGAAATGAGCATTTGAATAAATTATAAGTTGTAATGATAGATAACAAAATAAGGTTTTTGTTTTTCTTCTTTAAAAAACAGCAACAGGTTTTCCTCTTAAAACTCTTTACCTTGCTAGCTTATCTTTCATAATGTGAATGCAGACATGGTATGTAATTTCTTAAACTAACAAAAGCTTATCCAACAACAAAAACAAAACTCTCACTAACAATTCGATGACACATAAAAAACTAAAGCTATTTAAGCAACTTAATTAAGATTATTAGAGAGGAGGAGACAAAGAGAAAAAAATACAGCATGTGGAAATCATCTAATTTTAAAATAAGTAAACTATCTTTTTCTTACATTTCATATGATTAATTAAAGGAAAAAAAGCAGAGAATGACATGAGTTTTTTTTAAAAAGATATACTAAATATAACTAAATAATACTAAGAATTCTCTTATGGTAACTGTAGTTCCATTGATAAATAAATTAAACTACTTTGGCCTGAAATAGATTATTAAAAATTGGGAAGCCAGTGATGATTAGCTTTAATCTTCATACAAATTCTGTTTTTTTTTCAATTCACAATTAAAAGTAATAAATAAGCCATTTACAAAGGTTAATAACAATAATAAACCAAAGTAATTACAGTTCATCTTCTTTTAATATTGATAAAGAAAAATTCTAAAATCGTATTCTATAGCATTTAAAATAATATAATAATCAAAATTATTAATTAGAAACTCATAACTGCAGCTAGAAAATATTACTGCAAACAGGATTCAGAGGCTTGTGAAAATCTTTGCTGGAAGAACTTATGCTCTATTAAATCAAAAATTTATTGAATATGAATTATAAATGATCAATAAGTATACAAAAATGTTTAACTTCTCTAATAATGAGGAAAATGCAAACAAAAAACTTTTTAGCTTATAGGATTGGCAAAAATCTGAAGTGAAATGAATTCTCCACCTAATGACAGTATAATCTGGTATAGCTATCTTACAAAGTAATTTGAAATATCAGTTAAAACTTAAAATGTAGATATTCTAGGTCTTGCTATTACCCCACGGGAACAGCAGAAAATGAGCCTGACAAATAAGCATACTTGTTGCTTCATTGGTTGCACATCAATAATTAGAAATTAAAAGCCTTCCAATAGGAGATTGGCTAAATAAATTATAGTACATTGGTTTTTAAAATGAATAATATGCAGCAGATAAAAATAATATGGCTGAATGTGGATTAACATAAAAAAAGCTTCAAAACATATTATTGAGTGTGAAAAGCAAACTACACAGGAATATTTAGTGAACCTTTCATAAAAAAAATCTTCAAAAAGTATTAGATATTTATAGTACATATACAGCTATGAAAATCCATAGAGTAAAAATCAAAAAATATATATAAAATAATAATTGTTAGCTCTATAGAGGGAAATGTATTGAAAACAGGAGAGTTACTATGGCCAAATGGCTTCCTTATAATAAGAATTTATTTGTAAATCAAATATATAAAAATTAAAGTCAGAAGAAATATCATAGGTAATAAATCTCTAGAATTACTTTGAGATAATTTCTATATCCTCAAATTTTCATACATATGCATGTTCATTATATGTGCAGTTCCATCCCTAAAGCAAGACATTGCCTCCTTCTGCCTTAAATCTTCACGTTTATAAGCACATTCAGTAAAACTCAGAGAACTTGCACATGTAATTATCTGTTCTCTATATCTATTCTGTCTTAATTCAAATTCCTCATTATCTTCTCAACATAAAAGTTCAATCATGATTATTATAAACATCAAAGGAAAAAAATAAGCATAAACAATAATAGACCTAAGAATTTTTAAAAGAAGAAGGTTGACTAGCTCTCACTTTTCTGGTTTAAAAATTATTTATTTCTCCCTTAATGTCCTCAGGTCCACTACAAATTATATTTTATTTGAAGACATTATTTTTATTAACTAATATTTTAGAAATCTAACACATTTTGACTCATACTAATTACCTGAAATTACTTGAGGATGCTTCTTTGCACAATAACATTTTCTTATGTCTATAATAGGCACGCTGCCGGTTTTGTTGAAATCCAGTTTCATAAAAGCCTAAATAAAGAGCAATGCTGTTTTCTATGAAATCGTTAGACATGAGAACCTAATTTTCTATTCTGCAGTAGCTTATTTACAGGTTCTAAATGAGACAGTTTAAAAATACTAAACTGGTATATGAAAGGAGCATCATCAATAAAAGAAAGATACTGGAGCAAGATATTAGGTGTCAACCAATGGTTGTTTGCACCAATTCAACTCTAAAAGGAATCCCCAATTTGGGATGTGGTGAAGAAGGAGACTTTACCCAGTGCAAACAGCTCTACTGTATACAGCACAGCTGTGAAAACAGCATGGCTATGGAACAGCTCAACAGTGGTACAGCTCAGTTATGAAACAGCATGGCTGTGGACAAGCACAGCTGTGAGGTGGCCCTTGGGTGAGCTGACCCTTGGGTGAGGCATCTCTTAGGCAAGGCACTGTTCCAGTCTATTTTGCTCTGGTCTGGCAAGATGTCTTCAGTCTTTCAGCTCCAGCCAGGGGAAAAGACTCTTCAGTCTTTGGTGGGAAAGGAAAGTGTGTTCCCTGAGACAGAGGGGAACTGACTCATATAGAGAGAAGCTCTAGAATTTACTTGAAACTGATAAATGGCCAAGACAAATTGAATTGCTAGCCTCTAGAATTCTGAGAAAATAAATTTATGTTGTTCAAGCCACCCAGTCTGTGGTACTTGTTATGGCAGCCTTAGCAAACGAATATGGTACTTGATAACTCTAGTTTTGTCTTCTATTCCCAGTACCGAGATTTATGAAAGAGACAACCCTCCAGTTTTTACTTCTGATACTCAAACCTATCACCAAGATATGTAAAGTACAAACAAATGCAAATTTATAAAGCTATGAGAATTTGTTTGGATTAAGGTTTTTATTGTGTCTTTTGGCCAATAGAGATTTCGATATTTTCTATTTGAGATTTATACTTGATGTTACTGTTTATATTACTCTATACACAATAACTTTGTTTCAGTATTAGATACATTTTATATTAGATACATAAACAAAAAAAGAAAACTACATTGCTCAAAAGTATGCTCTAAAAATTGCTACCAGAACTGGAGTAATATGTTGTTTCCTATAAAAATAAGGGCTCCTGTTTTTAATTCCAATTTAACATGATCATTTGAAACTTCATTTTAACATTTAGCATGCATACTATAAAAAACCAGAGAACAATTTTAGTCATCCTAAGATAACACGTATTGAGTCTTGACACTGGGAAAGACACAACACTAAGAATTTTACATGTGTTATCTCATTCATTCTTTATACTAATGCTATGAGATAAGGAATTGAGTATCGGAGATATTTAAAAGCACATAGCTAGTATTTTATGAAACTAGTCATCTGTGAACCAAAATCTGACTTCAGACTTTATTTTCATTTTATAATATTTTCCTAAAACATACACATAAATTCTTTAGCTTTATCCTGGGAGAGTTGTATGTGTATTTATTTGTGTTTTACTAAAATCAAAATACATTACAAGTAAAGGGACTTAAAACATTTTCAATGGTAAGTCATTAAAGTTTTAAAATAATGAACCTAATAACCTATTAAATATAACTATTTGAAGATTACTTAATAAAGTTACCTTTCGCACAAATGATTTCCTGTATTCATTCATTTCACCAAAAATGGCACGTTTGAATTCTCCATAATCAACCTTGCCATTGCCATTGTCATTCAGAATTAGCCATGAAGACTCAAAATCCTAGAAATAATCACACAGAGACCACTCTTACACCCTTAAGTCGTATATGGCAACATAATAGTATTTTGTTACATCTTTTGCAGTCTAAGACAAGGTAGAAGACTTAAGAAATTCCAAAAAGTTATCCAATCAAAGGCACTCAGAAAGCTATTTAAAGCAGCAGTCCCCAGACTTTTTGGCACCACCAGAAACTAGTGCTCCTATGAGAATCCAATGCCTGATAATCTGAGGTGGAGCTGAGGTGGTGATGCTAGCTGTGGGGAGCAGCTGCAAATACAGATGAACCTTTGCTTGCTTGCCCACTGCTCACCTCCTGCCGTGAGGCCTGATTCCTAACAGACCACAGACTGTCCACAGTCCAGGGGTTGGGGACCCCTGAAAAGGAACTCTGTGGTGGACAGTTCTGTAAAGTTAATAACCATGTAGGAGTGATAAGAAGTCACAAATTATCTTTTTAAATTTAATTCTTTGCTATACAAAAATAAAAATATCATTTGCTTCGATTTGAACATTTAATTATTTTTACATATTATATCTGTGACAATTAAAAAGTCACCTCAGGTTCTGGAATGTCTCCAATAGCATTAGGAGCACTAATCATATTTCTGCTAGTCTTTAAAGTATGACACATATTTGAAAAACTAATGTTATTCCATAATTTACACTAGAAGATGTTGTTCTGAGTATATCTCTTATGCCAGTTTACTCATTTTACCATTGCCACTTACTGCTTTGATAAATGCACTATTTAAAAGAATGTTCTATTCACAGAGTTCCTAACCAAAAAAAATTACAGCATGAGGTAAATATGTTTTCAATGTTTCAGTCACATTGTTAGCTTTAAATGGGAATGTAAATAAAACATCCAACGAGGTGATTAACAGATAACAGATACTCGAAAAAATATTCTCTCCTACCTCTCCTTAATTTTTCAAATAAAACTTTAGTAAGAAACACTAAATCTTAAGATGTCCTGTCTCCCCACAATTCTCAACAACCCACACATTTTTGTCCTCATGATACAAACTTTAAATGTCTGTAAAATGATCTTTTAAGCATGAAAATAAGCTTGACCTTTAAAATCATAAGTAAAATTGAAAGAAAACATGAATATGCTCACCCAACTCATGGAATACTAGAAATGAAAGCTAACACTTGAGGCTTAAAATAAATAAATTTCAAGAATTGAATAACTTACCAAAAGTGGCCATAAATTTATATACCTCGTCCTTTCTAATATATGGTACAGAATAGAAAAAATGATAGTTCAATTGAAAAACAAATTGAGGTAAATTCAATGATAGTATCTCTATAGAAATCAAGCTATTTAGGGTACATATCTTGTTGTTTTTTGTTTTTTGTTTTTTAATTTCATACTAGGGAGAAGAACTATACCTTCCAAGAAACTAGTTCCATAATTAGACTCAGGTTAGTGATACTTGTATTCTAATTTTATAGTGCCTTAATTTTGCTTATCATTGCATGGACAGTCTCCTGTAATACCAGAGGGAGAAAAAACAGGGAATACTATTTAAAATATATGAGAAAAAGGGGAAATTTACTCATATTTTTATAATACATGTTCTCCCCAGGCTAGACACCTTATATAATTTTTTTGGTTTTTATTCCTGAATCTAATGGTAAAAATTTAGCAAAACAACCAAAAAGGGAAGTATCATGATGATGCAGAAAGAGTATCAGGCTGGCTCAGATTATCTGGGTTCTAGTTTTATCTCAGTTATTAATTACTTGTGTGATGGTGGACAAAGATACAAGGCTTTCTAACGTTCTATCGCTGTTTCTTTTTGTTTTGTTTTGTTTTGTTTTGTTTTGTTTTATGAATAGAAGAAGTCAAGTTAGATAATCCACAGTGTGTGTCACCAGGTGGGTCAGAAGGTTAAATGTTGCAAAAAATACAAGAACGGTATGTCATAACAATAATATATAATATCATATTTGTATAGATTTTATAGTCGATAAAACATATTCTCATGTAATTTTCTCATTTGAGCTTCAAAGCAACTCTGACTATTGGTACTCTCTCTAAATTGCCCAAGCAAAACCTGTCAATTCAAAAACTGAAAAGACCTATTCAAGATCACACAATTCTAGTAGTAAGGCTAGGACTTGAACCTGTATCTCCTAAATTCAATTTCTAGTATTCCTCCCACAAAATACTCTATATCTTGTGATGAGACTGTTCAAAATAAAAGAGAACAGTGCAAGAGGATTTTTTATCTGAAACTCTTGAAGTAAATGTGTTTCAAATTCATATACTTTTAGAATAAAATCCAATTTCTTAGTATGGCATGCAAGGCTTTAGCGTAATAGACCCTTCCAGGCTTATTTCTCTCCATCAATCTCTTTTCCTTCCTTCTATTTATCTGTCCACTTAAACTAATGCATTGTGTATTTATTCAGCACTTGCTGTATGCCAGGTTCTATTCGAGGTGTTAGGAAAGGAACAGAAAGCCAGAAATATGCTTTTTCCTGCCCTGATGGGGCTTACATTCTACTTGCAGGCAAAGTCAGACAATACTTACAAAGTGGAATGAAGAAAATAAAGTGGATAATGGTAGAAAGAAGACCAGGGAGCAGATGAAGTGCTCCTTTAGACAAAGGTGTCTGGGCAGTACTCTCAATAAGTGTGGACTGAATGATGAGAAAATCCAACATGAAAAGGTCTAGTGGTAGATTACTCACAGCAGAGGGAACAGTATGTGTGAAGGTTCTGGGGGTTGGGAACGAGGGGATGAACCATCTGCAACTCCTGGTCAGGCCACACTCCTTCTCTCCTCCATGTCTTCACACGTGCTTCTCCTTTTCCTGAAATACTCATTGTCTGAGCCACACTTCTCCTCCTCTCTTGTCTGCTTAATTTTGCACCCTTCAAAATTCAGCTCAGATATTTCCTCCTCCAGAAATTCTTCTATGATCTTCCCTCTCTTTCTCCATAACCTAGCTTAGAATTTATCCCATGTGTTCTGTAAACATTCTCTATTTAACATATATCATAATTGTTTTGCAATTATATCTTTCTATCCTTTGATTATGAATATCTTAGAGTACAGAGTATAACTTCTTAGAGCTTAGAAGAATGGCTGATTATTATATTATTAATGTATACATGATGGAGGAATAAAAATGTTGAAATTTTAAAAATCAAGAGGACTTGTTACCTGATGGCTTAACACTAATAATAGGGCATAAAGAAGAAGAAGGAGACAAATGAATTACTAAAATTTCAGTAGAGAAGTGAATATCATCTAAGAATAATATATAATTCATTGCAGTGAAGTATCTGTGGTACATACCTTTTCAGACACTTCTAAGTGAAATAGTTGTAAAGCATGCTCAAAATCAGCTTTATCTAAAAGTCCGTTTCCTTCCTTGTCTAATTGTTGAAAGTATTTTGCCAATCCAGTCAAAATACGGACACCTCTTTTATGTAGCTGTTCTTTTAGCTTATCTGTTTAAGAAGAAGAGAGGTATAAACTAACAGCTCTTATTCAAAACTGTATCAAATTGTATTTGCCTCTTGTAAGAAAATTAAAGCTGATGTAACTGATATAAGAAATGTCTACCAAATCACGTATAATGCAAAAAACTTTGGAAAATAAAATGCTTTTAATAAAGAGGGTTATATATAAAACTACATGTAAATATACCAGAACTATAGCACCACTGTGTGGTGAAAGTGTTATAGTTTAGATATAAAAAAAATAATGTTCAATTTATCAGCATGAAAATAACCTAAATGTTACAAATAAAACATTATTTTTCTAGGCATCCTCTTAATCCAACAGTCCTACCTCTTTAATATCTTTCCTCTTTCTTTATTGTTACCGACTGAATTACAAAATTGATGCCAGGCAAGTCACTCAATAATTCTCAGTTCAAAATTTCTAAAATAGTTTGCAATCTTCAAATTATAACTTATATATTAAATAGCATTAAGGCTTTGGAGTGCTGTCCTATACTTATACATTTAAAGTAACCCTTTTTTCCAGGAATTTGTAAGAGGTTATAGTCTCAGGACCTTGGCATTCTCTTTGTGGGTCAGCGATTTCACTTAATGCAGTTGTGTCATCTTAAGAATATATAGGGAATTTACTAAAGTAGCTACTAAATACAACACATTGGAGATGTAAATGTCACTAGATACAATAGTGACAAATATTGTATTGACCATGATAGAATAAAAGATTTACTAACAATGACATCAAGAGTATTTGAGAGTTCAAATACCAATTCAGAACATCTTTCAAATGTTTTTAGCTTTCTTACTCCCTGATCATCTTTAAATGACAAATCAGGATTTATCAAAATTCATAAATTATAGGTTGATTTTCTGTGATTACTTATTTATGCCTTTCTAGACTATGAAATTAAACAAAGGAATTGATTATTTGAGCCAAGTATCCTGTAGTGGTTATATGACTGGACTCTAGAAACAAAATCTGTAACACATTTTAGTATACAAAGCCTATACACGTTTCATTTATTACCTACAAGAACTCTGGAAAGTTAATAAAACAGATTATTTTCTTCATTTGAGCAATGAAAGTGGTGCAATAGATTTACACACAGTCATATGTCTACTGAGTAACAGTCCAAACGTGACTCTGGCTCCCAGTCTAATATCTTTTATTTTACACTAGGGCTGCCACAAATCTCTTTAACATATTATCTAATGCGTAAGACAAGTATTATATTACAAAATCAGCTACATTTTATTCAGTTCATGAATAAAATCCATCTTATCTAGTTTTTTCTAAAATTTTTAAATCCATAGTTCTTATAATACTAGTTAATCAGTTAGATGGGATCATTAAAGTGGGAGAAATCCTAGAAATGTTGTTAAACATGTATATACGTATGTGTGTATATATATATATTTTAGTCTTAAAAATATATCTCGTGAATATATTAAAACTAACAGACATCTGGAAAATACAGCTTTACTACTCACAAAGAAAATGGTTAAAAATTAAAAATACTTGAGAATATAGTAAAATAATACATACCTTGAATGGCCTTGAAGGCCAGCCTATCATTGGCTTCCTGACTGTTTATATCATCCTCATGTTCCAGAGAATCAGTTCTGCAATGGACATGTTCACAGTGATAAAAATATATTCTGTTTTGTAACCCTGAATATGGAAACTCAAAGCTCTTGCCTGCTCTTGACTCAATGAAACTCTCATCAAATTTGGAATAGTGCCTAGAGATTAAGCAAGTCCTGCTTTTGGCTGCTGATTTAATTACCAAGAGGATTAAATATGCTAAGTCAATGGCTGAAATTCTTAAAAACTTCCAAGAACTATTTTTAACATTATATTCATTTTTGTAGCTACTTCAGTGTTTTTTTAAATAATTAAAACTATTAAATTTAAAAGCAGTTTTACCTTGTAAAGTATAAAATGTAAAAGTTATTTTTAAAAGCCAAAAAAAATTGAGCAATACAGTAAATAGCAAAGTAAAACAAACTTCCTATAGCCAATTTATGGGTATAGTCTCTTATGCACATATAGTACACCAATTATTGTCACTTTGAATTATATTTACCACCAAGAAACACTCAGCAACAATAATAGCATATAGCAGCATATATAGAATTACAATAACTCAAATTCATTATGTATATTATCATTCAATGAACACTATTAACATGTAGGACCCAAGACATTTTTTAATGCTAAAAAAAACACCACTAAAACTGTGGGAGAAATTATTAATGTTGTACTGTATCCCATCTTTTAAATTTTATTGCTTCAGTAGCATTTTATAAAATAAAAGTGCTATAGTAAAGGCAAATTAATAAAATATCTTTAACGTAAAGTGAGACATTTTTTTCTTTACTTGATTGTAACTATTCCCACACATGGAGTGCAAGATAGCACATAAAAGACAAATATAGCTATGCTTTGTTTAAAAAAATATAAATCTAAAGTCGAAATACTTTGGGATAGAATCTCATTTTAAGATATTAAATAATAGTGTTTTCACTTACCTTCAAATTGACAAACGCATGTTTGACTTACCTGAGAGAATCCAAAGCTATCTGATCAATATTTGTGATGCGAAGTATAAGTAATGTATTTTCTTTTATGTTTTCTGAGAGTCTGGGATGATCAGAACTCAAAAATGTCAAGTTTGCCCCCTAAAAAATTAACAGATGAATTAAAATTTAGGAAACCAATAAGAAGTAAAATACAACTAATACTAATTTTAAATATTCAATTTTGATTATGTGACATGGTATACTTTTTTATAAAAAAGCATATTTAGAAACCATTTAGAAACCACACAGACTTCAGCTAATAATGTGGGAAAATAAAGGAAGTAATCTCCCAATCAATCTCTGAATTAGAACAATCTTCTGTTTAACAATCCCTGCGAAAAAATAATAATAAAAACTCCATTTGAGGTACTTGTTGATAGGAATGTAGTTATTACCATTCTTTATTCCTGTTTCTGATATATGTTTTTCTTCTTAAAGAACTCCCTATCAACAAGTACCTCAAATGGAAAACAATTAAATGCTCCAACCAAAAGATAGAGTGGCTGAATGGATAAGAAAACAAGAACGCTACATATGCTGCCTACAAGAGACTCACTTCAGATTAAAAGACACACGCAGACCAAAAAGAAGGGGATGGAAAAAGATATTGCTTTGATAGACCTAGAAAGTATTGCGCTGAATGAAATGGGTCGGACAAAGACAAATATCACATGATTTCACATTCACGTGGAATGTAAAGAACAAATAAACAACAATAACAACAAAAGCAGAAATAAACTCATAGATACAGAGAATATTTTGAGGGCGACTAGATGGGAGAGGGGTGGAGGGGATAGCAAAAAAAAAGGCAAAGGGATTAAGAGGTTCAAATGAATAGTTGCAGAATAGACATGGAGATATAGAGTGTAGCAAGGGAAAGATGGTTAATAATATTGTAATAAATATGTAAGGGGGAAGAGGGGTACTAGATTTAGTGGGGTGATTGCTTTGCCAGTTATGTGAATCTCTGATCGCTATGCTATATAACTGAAACTGGTATATTATTGCATGCCAACTATAATTGAAAAAAACTCATTGAATTGTATAATGTAAATACAAGCAACTAATTGTTTCTTATATTTCAATAAAGCTGGGAAAAAAATAACTCCAATTTTTTATAAGGATCATAGGAAGAAAGAATAAGTTATTCAAATCAAAATTATGATATTCCCAACAGAGACTCATGGACATGTATTATAGACTAGTGGTTACCAGAGGGTAGGTGGTGGGGGCAGAGGGAGGTGAACTATAAGAGGTGAACACACAGTGTAAATATATATATGCCTTACTGTTAAAGTGTACAGATGAAACTTATTGGATTTCGTTAACCAATGTCACCCTAAAAAATAAATAAAATTTTAAAAAAATATGACATTCCTAAATACAGAAATAGAGTTATTGATCCACATAAAGATGTACTATAAAATGATGAACTGTGATAGATCAATCACACTTTTTCATCTGGTCTCTTGATAACAAACATCACATAAGTGTAAACCATAATTTTAAACTAATTAGAGCCTACGAGCTTGAGTGAAAATATTCCTCTCAGAAATTCTAAATCTACACTTAAAAGATTTTTATTATTTTGATTTCTGAGTTACTCAAATAAATATGGTCTTATAAATAAAGACAAATAGAAATTTAAAATAAGAAGTTTAATTTTCTCTGTTGAAAATAGTAACAGGTTTCTTTCCTCCTCTTTTTCCTGGAGCATTTACATTTGAAAACTTGTAGCTATAAATATTTTCCCCTTTCTCTAAAATGTATATAAATTCTTTTAAAATTATATTTGTCTTCGGCCATGCTACCCTGAACAAGCCCGATCCCGTCTGATCTCGGAAGCTAAGCAGGGTCAGGCCTGATTAGTACTTGGATGGGAGATCATCTAGGAAGACCAGGTTCTATAGGTGTAAAAAATAAAAAAATAATAATAATAAGGGATTGTAAACTGACAAGGTCCTTGCAATCTGTGAGGTCAACCAAAGGTTGCCTCGCCTAAAAATGAAAAAACTATATATAATATTAAGCAATTGAAGAAACTCTGTGATATGTGTAGCAGGGTTATACATATAAACTTATACATGTAAGCAAATGTGTGTATATGTACATGTGTTCATAAGGGTACATCAGTGAGGTATGTGTCAGTACATCCAAAGCTATATATGCATGTATGAATGAACATATGTGGGTGCACTTTATGCATGTGTGTATGGGAACATGTATGTGCATGTTTATTTGAGTATTATATTAATAGCTGGCACTAAAATATTTTTAGGGAGTGTTTAGGAAAAGACCTTGATGGGGCATATAGAAAAAATAAGCTTCACTATAACATTTGGAAAGCAGAACCAATGCACCCCCCAAAAAAGAAGGATAAGGTAGAATATTTTTGCGTAAAGAAAAGGAAGATTGTGGGGAGAAGAAAAAGGTGGAAGGATATGAAAAGTGAAGAGGTGGGCCTTTACTATGGGAAATATCAAGAGATATATTTTCAACAATAAGAATGTCTAATTAATAATTGTAATTTGTTTACACTGCTGTGATAACCTCCCTCCATTATCTATTTCAAAATGTCTGCCACACACAAAAAGCATCATATACATGGTTTGTATACAGCTTTCACTCCTTCTCTCCCTTCTTCCCTCTCAGCCTCCTTTCTTTCCCTCCTTTCATTTTTTCATGGAAGTCATAAAAGGGAGTAGAGTTCTATACCTGCTTCAAGTGAGTTGGAACAGGAATAGAGAGAATAAGTTATAGACTATACTAAATTACTGGAGACAGCGTTCAGAGCTAGTGGTAACTTTAATCGTGGAATAAGCATTAAACAGCCTTCTACAGTTTATGAAATGGAGTCAGAGCTGATTTTCTCTAGCTCTCAAGAGGCAGACTTGAGTGACATGTGTACAGTTTATTTAATCCAAGTTTAAGATGTAAAGTTTTTCTTCACCCCCAATTCCTCATGCTACATCTCATTGATTCTACCTCCTATCAACATTTTAATTTTATTTTTCTAATTAGCTTCACACCCATAGCCACATCCTCTTGCCTAATTCAGGTTGTTATAACCTCCTTCCTAGATTTATAGCATTCAATCCACTCATTGAAATATCATTTCAATGACTCCTTAATACATTTTATATAACTCTTTAACAGAGGCTGCTCTTAATAAGCTCTCATTCTTGACAACGCCCACCTTGAACGCTGTACTCCAGACAGACTTCCCCTACCCTCTCCTATCTTCTTATCTCAGCCTAACCAACACCTTCTCTAGGTCAAGGTTAGATGGCACTTCCTTCAGGAAGCGTCTTTAAAAACACTAAACTAAATTATTACTCTTCCTATCTGACTGTTCTTCCTATTAGAATATGACTCCACAAAAGGAAGGAATGGGTCTAACTTATTCACTGCTCTCCCTCCACCGCTCAGTCTATGAATGTATACTGGTTACATGAATGATCACTGTGGATAGTGCTGCATTTTAATCATCAAATAACATGTGAAAATAATGAAGAAAACATAGGCAGTAAACTCTCTGATATTACTAACAAGAATTTCTTTTCAGATATAGCTCCTTGGGCAAGGAAAACAAAAAAATAAATAAACAAATGGGACTACATCAAATTGAAAAGTTTTTGTACAGCAAAGGAAACCATCAACAAAACAAAAAGATGACTGACTATTTGGGAGAAGATATTCCCTAATGATACATCTGATAAGGGGTTAATATCCAAAATATATAAAGAACTCATACAACTCAACAACA